ACCCTTATTCCTGTTGGGTAACACTTTTCATAAGTAGTCTTCTAATCCTTTTTGAGCTGTTCACTAAGTAACAATACACTCGACAAGAATATTAAAAAATAGCCTATAGCACACATTACATTACTGTCAAACAAGAATTAATATCAATATCTTAATATATTTGATCTTAAGAGTTAAATGACTCTGCATTCCAGCATAAAATCTTGGAGTCAGTGGGAATTTTCTTTGGGTTCCAGGTGGGATGTAAATGAGAGTTTTTGGTTGTTAGATTAGCAAGAAGTCCGAACTAAGCAAATATATATATATATATTTTTTTGTCTATTCTTCCCATTTGTGGAGCTGCATGTCATGATATGAAATGTTATTTATTGGACCTAGGCCAACTTCCAGACAAAGGACCAACCTGAGCATTTCCTGTGAAAAGTGAACACCATGAACTTCAGTTATGAATATGGAGCCAAGACCACACGGCCCTCCCTGTGGGCTGGGGTCCAGGGTTTGATTTTAAATCCCCTTTTGGCTGTACAGCACACTCAGTGAGCTCTTGGAGCTCACCGGCTCATCAGCTCAACCGCTGGAGGCCTGTGTCCAGAATCCAGGGGGTGAATGCTGCATCCATTTACCCTCATGTTCCCTTACCTGCCATTGAATTTGGCAGTAGTGCAAAAAGGTAGGGTGAGTGGAGGTGGCATTCACTCCTTGGATTCCAGAGCTGTGCCAGTGCAGGGTCTGGCAGAACCTGAAATGATGAGCTCAGAGAGGTCACTGTTCATTTGCTGCACAACCGAAGGGATGCATTCCCTGCATCCCCCTATCTCTGCCCCTGGCCCTCTCCAAAGGCCAGATAAAAAGAATCAAAATTTGGGCCTGATCCTGAAAACTCTCTTATGCAAGGAGTTGCACTGAGTTCTGACTGCACAGACCAAATATGTTGCAGGCAGCTTTAGATACAAATTTGGGATTTGAACTCAGCTTTTATCATTGTAATCTGGACTATTCTGATCCATGGTTTGTTTCAGGTTTCCTCTCATTGTACTAATGTAATATCCTGCAAGTGATCTCCTGCAGCGTTCCCTCTAAGCTGCACGCGTGTGCGGCTGCACACAATAAAAAATCATGTCACACAATAACTTTTTAATGCCGCGCACACGGTGGTGTACCAACGATGGGCCATGGCCTCGGGCACCCATCTAGGGGGGTGCCCAGTGCCGAAGCAAAGGGGTGCTGATGCTCCCCCCACCGCCGCCAGCTTTGCATCTGGCTACTTGCCACCCACCCCAACCTGGCCACAGGCTGCTCCAGGAGTGGGGAGGGGTAGGCATACTGAGATACCCATGCACTCCCAGCCAGGATTGCTCACGGATTGATAAACCTTAGCGAGAATATTGATCCCCTGTAATATCTGTGATTGCATTCTGAGGTACTCACGACATTAGTTTGAAACTTACATTTTTTGTTACTACTATTTTTCATTAGTCATACCAGTTTAACTCCTTGGCTTCAGTTTGCTTGGACAATGAAGCTAGATGGAGCAGCCTGGTAATTCAGTGTTGTTATTTGGGATTCCAGTACTAGATGGGTTTGTCAACACTGAAGTAACCAACACATCACTATTCATTCTAAAGTAATTCTGTTCCTTTTATTTAGTGCTAATTTTTAGATCACATATTAATCTTCAAAATTAACTGAGAAATATAATAATACTTAACATTCAGCTTTAATCTTGCTTTCTCCTCTAGTGCTTGATGCCCTTTACATAGAGGAAATGGTGAAAAGTATACATGCATGGAAAGAAAACTCAACTAGGTCATCTTTCTCAACTGGAGACTCAAAGGCCACACATGACAATCTCAGAAGTGCAGAAGAAATTCACATTTTAATTGTTGAAGGCTTTCTCCTATACAACTATGAGTACGACATGTAACAGCTTAACATTATTTGTAAAAGAGACATAATGTAAACTATAAATATGGCTGAGTGGTGAGACAAAATGATCATGTGTTTTAATTGTAGGCCTCTTAATGAATTATGGAATAGAAGATACTTTATAACCCTTCCATATGAAGAATGCAAGAGAAGAAGGAGGTAAATTTATTTTAAAAGTATTGCTCACTGTAGGTAACCATACCCTTATATACCTATAGGAGAGGGGGAGTTCTATTTTTCTGTGCATACTAATTGTAATGATTAGGACTTAAAAGGTTTGGTACTGTCTCTTTCTTTTGACGCGTGCTTTGTGGAGTTTGTGAGCTCCATGTGTTAGTATCCTAACCCTAAAATATAAAGATCCTTCAAGGATTGCAGCCATGTAGTTCTAGGCTTTGTACAGACACATAATAAAAAGACAGCCCCTCTCCAGAGAACTTGAAATGTAACTTAATTACTGTATACTTGTACTTAAATACTGTTTGAGAAAAGCCGAAAATAGATACAAATAAGCATTGTAGTTTTATGCTTCTCTAGACCTAAGTACAAAATTGTATTGTTCAGTGGCAACATTGATTTGCAGTTACACTGTATGATTTAGAGAACTGGGTCAAATTCTGACTGCCATTATTTCTGGAAAGCTTGGTTTTATTCGAGGTTTTTCTGGATGGCATAGATATTGGTGGTCAAAATCTGTTCCACTGCTTGCACAATTCCCTTGGTCTTAATTACCTACCTTTTTTCAAAAGTAAATAGCAATTTTGGACACCTTACTTGTGCAAAGCTACCCTGTCTTCTGCTTCTTATAAAGTAAATCAAAGATATACTTTATCTAAAGAGCATAAGTTTTTGTGAATAGAGTTTACTTTGTTAGTTGCTGTAAAAGGACATGCACAAAGCAGTATATAGAATGGAGAGTATGATTTGAATACAGAAGACAGGAAGGGAGCGGGCAGTGCTGGGAGAGCCAAACAAGCAAAGAACCCATAGGAACAAAGGGGTCACAAACACTAATCCAGGTAACACGGTAAGAATCCATAATCCCCGTTTAAACCATTCTTAACACAAACCAGTCTGTGGATGATTTCTTGTTCTGTAATTTCCCATTCAAGTCAGTTTTTAAAAGTGTGCAGCCTATGAACAGCTGCCCTGAGGTCAGGGTATGTCTAGGGAGGTTAAAGTATTCTGCCACAGGCCTTTGATATAATAGCAGC